TATCGTATCTAAGTGATTTCTCCTTTTCGAACGATTTGACTCACCATTTCTCTTTGGAATCTCCAACCAAGGCGTGGGAGGTATACATATATACGCCAGCCTTTCTGAAGGAGAGAAAAGGCTATGAAAATTAAGCAGGCCATAAGGGCATCCTACAATTGTAGAAATGACTGGCGATACGGCACTAAGGAAATTGGCACAATCATCAAGCTCCAATAATTGACTTAACAATTTTCTTCTATACATATAGATGGATTTTTCCAGAGCTTTCGATCGAGTTCCGCATAAAAGGCTCCTGCACAAGCTTAAACATCTCGGAATCAGGGGAAATTTATTGTTATGGATTGAAGCTTTTTTGTTAGACAGATCTTTCTCCGTCCGTGTTGGAGACGCCTATTCTTCTAGTCATCGTGTTACCAGTGGAGTTCCACAAAGATCTGTGCTAGGGCCAATACTTTTTCTTCTTTATACAAGCGACCTTCCCACCCGACTTTATTCTATGTGTTCCATCTATGCAGATGATACTAAAGTCTATAACACTGTCATGAACTCATCTGTGCTTCAAGAAGACCTGAAGCTGATCAGAAAGTGGTCAGAACTCTGGCTCCTGCCCTTAAATCTATCGAAATGCTACGTTCTCCACCTGGGAAAGAATAATCCTAACTTAACATATAAGATCTTGGTCTAACAGTTAATGACCGGCTCACCTGGTCGGAGCACATTCAGAACATAACCTCTAAGGCAAAGCGGTTGCTATATATGATGGAAAGGTCATTTAGCGGTTGCACCGTTAGTACCTCCTCCTTTTTGTACACAACTTTCGTACGACCCCTACTGGAGTTTGCTGGTCCGGTATGGGATTCAAACCTTGTTCGCGATAGCAGCTTATTAGAGGCCGTTCAGCGTCGTGCTACACGTATGCCATATGGCACACGTAGGCCAAGTTATGAAGACCGCCTCGAGCTATATAACCTGCCTGCTTTTGCTGATAGAAGAGTACGAGGAGATCTCATCATCACTTTCAGAGCACTGCATAATTTGTTTGGTGTGGACATGTCGCATCTGTTTCGTCTGGCAACGAACAGTCTCAGAGGCCATAACTTCAAATTGCAGAAGGAAGCTTTTAGAACCTCTACTCGTCAGCGCTTCATCTCAAACCGTGTCTTCGATGCATGGAACAGTCTTCCATCTTATGTAGTGAACTCGGAATCCGTCAACAGTTTCAAAAACAATTACGATAGACACCGCAGTGCTTAACATATTGTTCCCATTCTGTATATGTCTACTTCAGAAGTGCTAAGATTGTCAAATTGTTATATTTCTTTTGTCTGTACACTATTATCTATTTTTGTGTTTGAGTTTATAGTACTTGTACTCAACTCAAATTTGTTGTTTAATAATAATAATAATAATAATAATAATATATCAAATTTACAGGACCGTAACAGGGAAGCCAAACATTAAACAGATTTTAACAGAAATTTCAGTTGTCGCCTACGCTAAGGTAGGATCCCGAATGACTGAATTATACTTTAGCGCAAAACGCAAATATTTCATTTCTTATTTCAAAATGGAAGATTAGGATGTAACTTGTGAGAAAATATCATTTTCTGCTTGCTACTTCATATAACTTCAAAGTTGCCTTTTGGGTGGTAATACTGTGGTATATAATACTGCTTTATAAACTAGTTTTTTCTTGTTTACACACACTAATGCCCAACACTATATGAATATAACATAAACTGTTTACTGTGACACTGATCATCGTAACGATGAATTTTTGCATTATTTCAATGATGAAAATAGAGCATTGTTAAGTATTCATTTACTTTATCTCAAATTAATATTCCCATAACTATACCACCATCACTGTCATAATTTCTGTATCGTTGCGATAATGTCAAATCGTGGATAGTAATATATAGATTGATTTGGTTTGTCAAACTCTTACTTATATACTAGCGCAAAAAAGTTCAGTCGGCACCGGATTGCCATGAAGATGCGATTTGGAGGTGTGACCAGCAGGTTTTACTGTACTAAATCTACCTCGTGTCGTACGATAGCATTAGTGAAATACACCTTTCTGAACAACGCCGTATGCCTTTTAGAAAAACACTTCGGTTATTGCGTTTCCTATATCATAGTTATAATCTATTTACTTTTTGTATGTAGGTACTAGAAGAATTATTTAAGGTGAGGCTGATGTCACAAAATATACCTAATTAAATGTGATACAGGTATATGAGAAATACTGGAAACGTAGCTATTGCAGGTCAATAAATAATAGAAACATGACAAAAAAGAACATGCAATTTTGTTGATGATTTGATGAAATGGTCGTTGATCTTAAGTTAACTATAATATTGGACGATGATTATTGAGTGGTCCTGGCGACGTGGTTCAAATTGACGAATCGAAGTTGGGTATTTTTATATGCAATGTGCTTTTTGTACTTTTTATGTCACTTGAGCGTCTGGTGCATTTTCCACTGTTTAGATACGTACCAAAATTTCATCTTATTATCCATAAATGTTGGGATAACTTCTCATACAACAAGCCATTTACAATAAATTAAGACTTTTATTTTACAAATAGTCTCATTTCTTTATTACGTATTTCTCCCAAAAGGAATTCAACTTGGCAACAGTGGACATCATTTATCTTATCTACCAAGAAATGAATGTTATAATATATATATAATGGCGTTTGAGAATGATTTGTACTGTCAAATATTCCTTATAAACGCAAAAATTTTGATCTCATTGAAAATACGCGAAACAAAATGGCTAAGAAATTTCAAGAAGACATTAAAAAATCTCAACATACCTGTACACAATTTACCAAGTAAATACACTGAACTGTCATTTTAGCTTATTACACTGCTAGTTTTGAACCTTTTTAGCTAAAACAACGATTTTTTATAGTTTCACATCTGCTTTCCTTAAAAAACTACCATATCTGCTGATTTTTTAATTTTTTTCCGAAAAAAAAAACAAGAATTTCGGATTTTATGTGCCAAATATATAGTTTTAAAGGTATGTATTTGGAACTACCAATTCAGCTTATTATACGGCTAGTTTTTAACCTTTTTCTTTGAAAAAACCAACGATTTTTACAGTTTTACATCTATTTTCCTTAAAAAGCAAAAAACAACGTAACAGACAGTATTCTATTTTAGAGTATTACCACAAAAATGCGATTTTGAAGTTCTATAAAATAGAAAGCAGGAGGTTCCTTAAAGAAAAAATATTATTTTCGTAAAGGTTACATCCTAGACCTTAGCAGGGTGGTGCATTTTAAAATAAGAAATGAAATATTTACGATATGCCTTACCTCCCGAACTTTTAGTTATACTAGTTAACACGTCTGAACTATACTTTAGCACATATCGCAAATATTACATTTCTTATTTTAAAATGAAAGATTGGGCTGTAACTTGCACGGAAATATAATTTTGTCTTTAATGAACCCTCTGCTTGCTATTTTATAGAACTTCAAAGTTGCATTTTTTGTGGTAATACTGTGGTATAGGATACTGCTTTATAAGCTGTTTTTTTTTGTTTACACAAAAGATTGCTCAAAATTATATGAATATAACATACAATGTAAATTACTGTGACACTGTTCATCGCAATATTGCAATTTTGCATTATTTTAATGATGAAAATAGTTGACTATTAATTAGTAATTTCTTTAGATAAATATTCCCATCACTACACCACCATCCACCACCATCACCATCCTACTCTCTCCATATAGTTGCGATGTTGCCAAATCGTGTATAGTTATAGAGTGCCTTATACCCTTCACAAAAGTACTTCGGTTATTGTTTTTCCTATATTATAGTTTTTAATCTATTTACTTTTTGTATGTATGTACTTGAAGAATTATTTAAAGTGAAGCTGAGGTCACAAAATATACCTAATTAAATGTAATATATATGAGAAATAACTGAAAAAGTAGCTGTCGCCAATCACTAGATAATGAAAACTTAACAAAGAAAATTGCAAGTTTTTTGATGATTTGATGAAATGATCGTTGATCTTTAATTAACTATAATGTTGGATGATGATATGTTGGGTGGACCTAGCGAGGTGGTCCAAATCGATTAATCGAAGTTGGATTTTTTATATGCAATGACCGCTGGTGCCTTTTGTATTTTCTATGTCATGCGAGTCGCTGGTCCATTTTCCACTGTTTAGACATATACTGTTCAAAATTTCACCTAGTTTTCGGTAAATATAGGGTCAACTTCTCATAAAACAAGCTATTTACAATAAATTGAGACTTTTATTTTGCAAATAACCTCATTTTTTATCACGTTTTCTCCCAAAAAAAGGTACAACTTGGCAACAATGGACGTCATTTATCTTATCTGTCAACAGATGAACGTTATAAAATGGCCATTCAGAATTGTTTGTACTTTCAAATGTTTCTTATAAATGCAGAAACTTTTATCTCATTAAAAATACGCGAATAAAAGATTGTTAAGCAATTTCAAGAAGACTTTGAAAAATCACAACACAAGACCTCTACACAGCTTACCAAGTAAATACCATCATTTAAGTATGTATTTTGAACTGTTATTTTAGCTAATAAGCTAATGTGTAGTAACACGGCTGATTTTGAACCTCTTTTTTCAAAAAACGATTTTTCACAGTTTCACATCTATTTTCCTTGGCACTTACAGTGTATGTTATATTCTTATAATTTTTTGTGCAAAAAAGCGTATAAAACAGTATTCCATTCTAGAGTATTACCACCAAAAATGCAACTTTGAGGTCCTATAAAATAGCAAGCACAGGGTTCCTCCTTAAAGAAAAAATGATATTTTCGGGCAAGTTCAATCCTAGTCTTTCATTTTAAGTTAAGAAATGAAGTATTTCCGATATCCGCTTAACACTGTTTCAATAACCTAAATTTGAAGAGACATCCATTATAGATTGTGTGTGAGATTCTGAGGGGATTTTGTGTTCGCTTAGCTATTATTTCTGTTGACAGTCTCATGTCACAAAAAATCAACTTGACAAGTGAGACGCTTCAACTACATTTGTTGACCATGTCACTTGTAAATATTGCTAGACATTTCTACAAATACGTACGGCCTTCCAGCAGTCGAACTTATTGCCGAAAAGTCTCAGAGTTCTCAGACGAAGACGAAGGTGCAAGCAAGAAGTCAGAACCAAAGGACCAACTGAAAAGGTTCGGCGAATACGTAGCAGAATGCCTTCCAAAGTACGTGCAAAAAGTGCAAATGACTCATGCTAACGAACTGGAGATTCTGGCAGTACCAGATGGAATATCATGTGTGGTGCAGTTTCTGAAAGATCATCATGATTGTCAGTTTGAAATGCTGGTTGATCTCACTGCCGCTGATGTACCTTCGAGAGTATATAGGTTTGAGGTGGCTTATAACTTGTTATCGCTTAGGTATAATTCTAGATTGCGCGTGAAAACTTACACAGGTAAGTATAGTTTATGAATAGATCAAAACTAAAATTTCATTACCTAGCTTGGTGGCATGAGGATCAGTGTTGATGACGTAACCGCCAAGAACGGTGACTCCAACTACATAAAGTCTCTATTTCAAAATATGCAGTAGTGGACGGAACAAAACGGATTGATTGTCAAACTTATTTTTTAGAAAGTAACTGATTATGTCTTCCAGACGAGCTTACTCCTTTGGATTCTGTATGTGACATCTACAAGTCGGCCAATTGGATGGAAAGAGAAGTTTGGGATTTGTACGGCATTTTCTTTGCCAATCATCCAGACCTCAGGAGGATTATGACCGACTATGGTTTTCAGGGCCACCCCCTCAGAAAAGATTTTCCCTTAAGCGGGTACACAAGCTATAATTACTTCATTATAGACCCTGTCATGATTATCTATTAACTCTTCTATATATACAGGGTGTTTCAGTTTATTGTTGCATAACTAAGATTCGATAGAACTTTTGAAATTAATGCATAAAGTCTATATAAACATGGGTCGAAAAATGCGTGGCTTCCGAAATACAAGGTGTTTAAATTTACTTTTTAAAACATTTTTTTTTAAATATTTCGAACAATATTTGATGTATAACAGTGAAAATTGGTATACAAGGATTTTTGGGTACGATAAAACGAACCATGGGCATAGTTTTACTGTAGCCGCTAGAGGGCACTCTCTACTGTACCTGTAGTGCATTTAAATGACCGAAAATTTTTTCTTAGTGCAACTTTTTGCTTTTTGAATAAAAAAACTGATTCTGTGAGTTTTCATTATAGTTAGTTAGCCGTTTTTGAGATATTTCGATTTTTAAGGTTCGATGCATTTTTAATTATTTATGGGAAAATAATATTTTTTTTTACATTATCGATTTGGGCATTACAAGTAATTAAGATGATCGTTTAGATTGTGTTTTTAAACACAGCAATAATTCCTAACTCCAAATAAACCCAAAAAACAGAATATTAATTTGTTTAATTTTCCAATATTATTATTAACAAATTAAATTAATTATTTACAACTAAAATGCTATTAGATAGTTAGGACAAACATACAAAATCTAAAGTAGTTGCTCGAAATGTAAACCCAATTGTTCAATACACAATTCACATCTACGAATGATCGAACGTGGTATGGCATTATTCAAATAAGGCCTTATTTCATCACATGCTTTCCTGATTCTGTCTATTAGCATATCTCTTGTGGTTACGGGAGTCTGGTACACTTTTTCTTTTAGAAATCCCCACACAAAGAAATCTAATGAATTTAGGTCAGGGGATCGTGGAGGCCAGGAGACTGGTCCTCCATGGCCGATCCATCTTTCTGGATAATTTTCGTCCAGCCAGTTTCTAACTATTCTCGAATAATGAGCTGGACAACCATCAAGCTGGAACCAGGCCAATCTTCTTAAATCTAACAAAACATCATCCCACATATTTGCATGTTCAGCCTTTAAACATTCCAAGAAGGTCGCAGCATTTAACCTTGCAGGCAAAAGGTAGGGTCCAAATAGTCGATTACGGTAGATACCAATCCACACTTTCACACTAAATTCATGCTGAAAATTTGTTTCCCGAACTGTGTGCGGATTTTCATGCGACCAAATATGTTGATTATGAAAATTTATCACTCCACGTCTAGTGAAGCATGACTCATCGGTCCATAAAACGTTACTTCAAGACTCCCTATTATTATCAGTTCTATCAAGAATCCACTGACAAAATGTGATTCTTCGTTCTCCGTCCCCTGGCTGTAGTCCTTTAGTCCTTGCACAGGTTGCAAATGGTAAGGACGTCTATGGTCATTTCTAAGAACAATGTGAACATGGCTTGCTGAAATTCCCAATGCACCAGAAACTCTCCTAACACTTGTGGTCGGATCTCTATCAAACTCACGCAGAATCATACGGGCAAATCTGCGCTGACGAACATTTATGTTTTGATCCCTTTGGAGATTTCCAAAACCATTTTCAATTATTTGGCGATGCACTCTTACAAATACTGAGCGAGTTGGATGTCGTCTATTTGGAAATCTTCGTGCGTATTCTCTAGCTGCTTCTGCTGCCTTTCCATTCACAAAGCCATACACAAAATGAATATCCGCTAACTCTTGATTGGAGAATAAAAATGGCATTTTTATAAAACAGATAAAAGAAACTAAATTTCGTGCATTCACAATTGTAAAAAAACGTTTCAGGTTTCAACAGACAACAAAACTAACTGTCAACTAATTGACGTTTAACCTTATTCTGCTTTCAATTTCAAAAATATTTGCAGGCACAGCCTGCTCCTAAAAATTATCGAGATACTGACTTTTTAACGTTATTTTATCATAAATAATTAAAAATGCATCGAACCTTAAAAATCTAAATATCTCAAAAACGGCTAACTACAACGAAAATTCAGAAGAGAGCTTTTTTATGTTGAAAAGTGCGAAGAATCAGTTTTTGTATTCAAAAAGCAAAAAATTGCACTAAGAAAAAAGTGTCGATCATTTAAAATATACTACAGGTACAGTAGAGAGTGCGCTCTAGCGGCTTGTGTACCAATTTTCACTGTTATACATAAAATATTGTTCGAAATATTTAAAAAAAACTATTTTAGAAAGTAAATTTAAATACCCTGTATTTCGGAAGCCACGCATTTTTCGACCGATGTTTCTATATACTTTATGCATTAATTTTAAAACTTCTATCGAATCTTAAAGTTATGCAACAATAAACTGAAACACCCTGTATATATATATATAGGGTGTCCAATAAGTGTCACGACAAACTTAACGAGAAGGAAGGCTTTGGACTGATCTCCCAAATAACAAAATCCTATCTATATAAAAGTGTCACCGTTTTTGAGATATTGCATTTTTTCTTAAATTTTAGAAAAAATGCAAAGAAAAGGATCGTTTTTTTAAAATTTAAGAAAAAAATCAATATCTCAAAAACGGTCACACTTTTATATAGGTAAGTTTTTGTTATTTGGGAGGTAAGTCCAAAGCCTACCTTCTCCTTAAGTTTATCGTATATATATATATATATATAAATATATATATAAATACGATATATATATATATATATATCGTATTTATATATATATACTTGTATATATATAATTCGTAATTGTGTGTGAGCGGTGAGGGAACTGGAATAAGGTTCTATGATACTAAAAAGGGCAGGAAGATATGAAAGAAATATGGCAGAAAGGAGGCGTAGCGTCAAACTGGAGCAAACCGGAAGTAGTAAAGATCCTTTCATGGTTTTTGATCGTTACGTGTGTGGAACCTAACTTTCCTAAGGGAAATAGCTCGCTGCACAAGCCGATTCTTAATGCAACTGCTACTCTCTCCTGCACCTACAGATTAATTGGGTGATAGAAGCTTTCGCTTCCTGAAAATACTCCAATGAATTTAACTCAGGTTGCTGACATTGATGTTGTATCTTCAGGCAACCCTATTCGTATATCAAGGATTGACAAACAGTAATTTCAAATGGCACAAACCGTCAAAATGACAGAAAAAGCGTAAATGTGGAAGAGGCATACGTTCACGAAAATATTTTAAAGGCGGTATGACAAAACAAAAAAAAAACGTAGTTTGTGAGCTATACAAAAAAGCTCGCATATAGAGACCGATTACATACAGGGTGTTCATTGGAAAACCTCCCACTACGAATTTATCGAAAGCCGCTGAATAAAAGAAAAGACGCCGAGACACGCCAAGAGATTTGTCAACTTTTTAACCAAAAATTGCTTCACTCCCTTTCACGCTCTGATCCCCAGGGTCATCCCTTTAAAAATTTTAAATGACAAGGAGTATAAAGTAATATAGCTTATTTAAAGGTCATTCGAACTCCTTTATTTTGACGTTCGATCTTTTGAGATCTGTCGAATTGTTTTCAAGAAAATTAGAAAAATCCTTATTTATCTTAATTTGTTCAGATAGAGAACAAAAACACACGAAAATACCACTTTTCATTGCAATAAGTGTACAAAATGTTAATGGCTTAAAAATGCCCTTGGAATTAAAGAATTGCGACAATCTAAAGACATTCAAGGATCTCTTGAAAGACTATCTAATTGATATTTAAACTCATACTCTTTATAGATATGTGGAACTGCGGTACGATGATGAGAAAAAGAGAGTGGTGTGTGAACCGGTAGAGTTTGCACAAGAATTCAGGAAGTTCGATCTCAGTACGCCTTGGGAGCAGTTCAGGAATTTCCGCCCAAAAGCTCAAGCAGAGGACGTCCCTAAGACAGATGAAAAGAAGACCAAAAAGCCTTAATGGATGAAATTTTCTAGTATTAATTAAATATATAAAAATATAAAACACATAGTATCAATTAGAAAGTACTACCGATTTATTCTGACTGAAAAAAACGAATTCAAGATAAAAAAGTTGCCTCTGTCTATGGTTAAAAATGTGAGATTTTTGCCTGAATTTAAGATCCTTGCATTTCACTATATGGATCATTAATGATTTCAATCAAGAGATTAATCAAAAACAAGTCGAACAGTGGCATTTTTCTATGTTTCTACTTTATGACTGGAGGAATAAGCACAAATCGGCCTAGTCGGTATTAAATAACGTTAATGCTGACCGTAAATTACGTTAATAGTACGGTAAAATCAGGTTCTTTTTGGTGAGTGCTCAGTTTTGTTTGTTCATTACTAATGCCCGAAGAAAAGTAGCTATACATTGTTTAAGTCAGTCACCAGTTATGAGATGCAGGGCAATTTGCTCACATGCAGATGAATTTTCTGTTTTTTGACAAAAGATTGATGCAGATAGGGGCACGGCAGGTTACTATATTGACAACAAAATAATGCAGACACTAGGATGCTAGGCGCCTATTCCAAAACGTAAACTATAAGGTGCTACACAGGGTGTCCAATTTAAATCTCCCCAGCTGAGTATTTTAATAACTATATATTCTAGAAAGTTTTAAAGCGAAGTTGTGTCTTTAGGGGGTGAAATAATGTGACCTTGACTACGACATTCAAGGCCATTTCAAGCTCAAGTTGATGTCAAATGGAACCCTCCATTTTTAACAGCGGAATTGTAATGAAGGAGAAAATTTTAATCACCTTCTTCATGACCTTGACTATTGCTTTCAAGATCATTTCAAGGTCAAACAAGGCACTTTTTGATCTGGCAAAAATGTTCAACAACACAGTGGTGAGGGTTGAGGGGACCACTCAAAGGTGACCTCAATCGTGACCCTGACCGAGATGTTCAAGGTCAAGTCTAAATCTCCGAAGAAAATTTCTATAACGGAAATCGAAAAAGCATGAATCTTTACGCTTGAATGTGACCCTGAGCTTAAATCACATTAAACCTTAGCCGACCTTAACTTTTAGGTCAAGATCATATTCGGTCGTAAAATTTTCTGCTTTCTCCATTTCCAGTGTAAGAATAAGAGGTTTCATGTCGAAATGACGACTTGACCTTGAGGTGAAGGTCACCTTTGGGTAATCCCCATAAACCTGACAATTGTACTGTTGGACGTTTTTGCTAGATCAAATTGTTTTGAATGTCTTGACGACCTTGAAACGGCCTTGAAGGAATTAGTCAAGTTCACGACGATTCTCATATCCAAACGTAAGATTTATTCCTCTTTTCCATTCTGATGCAGGAAATGTTCACTTGACCTTGAAGGTCGTGGAAAAGGTCATTGTCAATGTCACCATCATTTGGCCCCCCTAAAACTGTACTAGTTTTCTTTTGTTTTGCTTGGTGTATAATTTTGCTGCAAGAATGTTCCAAACACTGCCTTTTTGAGCAAATATGCTGAGTGACAAAAAAACGTAAACACCTACGTATGTTTAAGAATTTTGTACATATCGATTTATCTTGCTATGAACAACAAGTGATAAAAAGGTCAGATTTTTCTGCAAAGTTTTTGTGGTGACTGCGTGTGGTGCTTGGTGATAAAGAAGCATTCAGTTTTCGTTCATTTACGGTGTCATTCAAATGTTAAATTTCGTGTCGTGTATTGAGGAGCCTTTTTGTGTTTGCTCAAAATGCCTAGAGTACGCAGAATTCGCCGGGTGTTCCAGCTAAGTGACTTTGCGAGAGGTCGAATTTTTGGTTGAAGAAATACGAGCAAGATGTGGTATAGAGGAAATAAACCTGTGGACCAAAAGAAGAAAAATAGAATGGAATCAACACATAGAAAGAATGACAGAAAATAGAACAGTACGAATAGCAAGAGACAAATCGCCAAATGTAAGAAGATCAATGGGTCGACCGAGGAAAAGATTGTCAGACAACATCAATTGTGGCTGAAAACCGACGTAAACCACACATGAGCCTATTTGTAAAGTAGGAAGAACAAAAGGAAGAATTTTTGGGTCGCGTGAAGCCGGTCTATTGGTAAGAGAACTTTCTAGGAGAACCAAAAATCCGTATGCAGTATACTGCAGTGTGAACGAGCGTGGACTCAGGAAGGCCAAGGACAGCGAGCAAGGGGTTCTGGACTTCCCAGAGACAGATCCAGTAGTATTCGAGCCATCGCTGATCAGTGGCTTGAAGAGCATGGAAGGATGGTTGGTATGCGTACGGTATATCGACGAATACGACAGCTTTTCCTTTTTTCTTATCGTCTACATTGGGTGCTACCTATCAGAAACATATCAAAAACTAAGGGCTGATTTCATCAACATTATTATTATGGACCAATAGGAAAATACCCTGTCGAAATGCAATTTGACGGAGCTGTCAGAGGTCTCAGAATATCAGTGACTTCTATTAAAATGTTGAATAAAATCGTAAAAATTCGATTGTATTATAAACAAGACCACTTTTTGATTCCAACATGATGCTTTTGTACAGAAAAAACAGGTCAACTTTCATGTATTTTGATATATGTTATAGGTTTACATTTAACAATCTGTTATCCCCTCAGCGAATGGGAGTGGGAGCTGTTAAATTTGGCAGTTGGTTTGGTCGTTTGTTAATTCATGGCAATCACGAAATTTGTTAAGTTCAATATACTGTGTGTATATTATGATGAGATCATTATAGCGACACATGTTGAATTGTGAGGATTTGTAAGAAAATAGAATATAAAATGTATCCCAACCAATTCCTCGTCTCTCTTTACATCATAATAGTAATCATTTGTTATAAATTCATGGGTTAATGAATATCTTCAAAGCAATCAAAACAATATGTCGTCCCCATCCTAAAGCACCGATATGTGTAAAACATGTTAATCCCTACATCTCCGAGGTGCATAATGCAATGAATGTAGACATAGACCTAAAATTATTAGTAATTACTGAAAAATAATGTCGGGCTCATGCACGACTTAACGTTACCGAATTTAAGGATCAGCTGTTTCTACACCAGTGTCCTCCACGTGTTACGCCGCCAGATGGTAACTAGCTAGTGATTTCCAGTGGTGGTCAACGTTTTGATGACGTCACAACCATTTTTTAACATGATCCGGGTGGTTTCGGAACTCGTCTTACCCTTGGATAGCCCTTTCTATACTGTTCTATGCTCGTATTGACGTAATTATAATAATTCTGTGGTGTCTCGTGTTCCACGACGATTTACGGTCAAAGCCAGGCGGTGAATCATCTGTTGTTTTTGTTTGAGTTGACGAATTGTTTTGGTGTTCGTCTTCGGGTGTGTTTTTCTGCCTTGGACTTGTTTTTTGTGCGATTAATAGAGGATGGCCATGCCTAGAGCCGCGCTGGTATCAACTCCTGATCGTGGTGAAGAGGTACCTGCAGAAGGCACCTGAACGCAATCGGACATCGCCAGAGGAGCGCCTAATGATGACGTCGTGTACACGTTAAATCTGCACGAACCCCTAAATACGTGGTTATGTTGAATGTACCATCACCGATGGTGCGACTGATTATACTCTGAAATTAAAACAAAGAACTGCAACTGCAATTGTATGTATGAATGTTGAAACCGTTGAACAGTTTCTGACCAGTGGGGTTAAAATATCGTTGAGGAACTGGAAAGAAGTGTATGAATATGTTGAAAAGCAACACCTAACAAAAATTTGAGTGAAAAGGCTTTTTCATGTAAGGATATGGAAGTGCAGGGTTGCAAATATAGGATAAACTATAAGCACACAGTAGGTGATATAATATTTAATAAACTGAAAAGATTTCAATGGCAAGCTATCACTTCATATTTTACAGTGTTTTGTTTTGAATACTTTGATGCTATTTGCTGCCAAAAATTTGACGGAGAGATCTTGAGGCTGATTGGGTATATTTAACGGACTGCTTGGTACTCGTACCCTATTGGTGCAGAATAATGGTTTGTTAAATTGTGAAATCCACCCTTAAAGCACCATTTTGATAGTTGGGGAGTGTTTTCGAGAACGTGAACACCTATTCTGGTTTGTACTTTGCCGAATTTTGTTCCATCGGGTATCCGAAATCGAAATGTCTCACCTCTAGTCGCATCGAGCTTGCCGTCGGTGCCTTTAAGGACTAAATCTGCATATGACTTGGCAATATCGTGGGCGGCCGCGTTAGGATGCATAAACGGGGAAAAACGGAAGGGACAGAAAAGCAGGGGGAGGATGTTTAGCGGATGGGAAATCTGATTTTCCCGCATTTCAGCCGTCTCCGGCGCCAAGCACCGCTGGCTTCTCTCACGGGCCACTGGCCACAAATCGGACGCGCGTTCACGAATAGATTTTTTTCTAAAACGTGTTATCGGCAAACTCTGTCAGAATGTCAAAATAAGAAAGATGCAAAAATATTTTAAAAGTATATGAATAAAAAATCGCACAGGGCAAAGCTTTTGTCTTATCTACCGGGTGATTCAAATTCGATCCTCACCATTGGGACCTAGAAAATGGTAAGAGATACGAAAATGAGGGCAAAGTTGCATATTTAGGCAATCAAAAAATTGTTGATTAGCAAGTTTCCAAGTTCTAAGTAGTTCCGGAAAGAGACAGAAAAAAACGTTTTAATTTTCTCTTGACTTTAATTGTAGTGCGATAACATTGCCACTTTTTCTTTTCTATAATATGGCATAATTAGAATTTTAATATAAAGTTTTGTCATCAACTTTACTTTTTCTTAACGACGCCATATTAGATTTCTGCGTAGATAAATAACATTCTTTGTTCTGATTTCAAAAATGTATGTCGTCAAACCTTAGTTATTCCAGAAATACAGAAGTTCCTAGATATTATTTGCTTCTTATACCAGACGAGACCTCAAGTTGGACATAGTGACCGAGTTTGGAAGTCTGTGGAGAAGAGAAAGAAATCTAGCAGTCAGCAATGTACAGAGAAGAGATAGTCCTTGACTACAAAATAACGGACAACATTTTAAAGATCTGTTATGATTTACCTTTGCTTTATTTATGATTATTATTGCTATT